GGAGATCAGCTCCTTGCTGATCTCCGTCCGGGCTGTGAATGCAGAAGTGATGTGTATTACATCACTTCCGCATTCACCTGTCAGTCATCTGGCTACTATAGCCACAGAAAAGAAGCTGATGAAGCAGATCTGTGCTTCATCAGCTTCTTTTGGGGTCCCCAGGTGAAATTAGGGGTCCTAGAGACCACTAATGTCTCCATAAAAGAGGACCTGTCAGTGTGCCTTTGCTATTATATAGGGGGGATTATCCCCCTATGTGATAGCAATAACAATAAGTGTAAAAACAAATAAATATAAATAAATATAAATAAAAAAGTAAAAAAAAATAAGTCACATATAAAAAAGATTTAAAAATCCCTCTAAAATGTTTAAGTCCCCCCACCCCCACGTTTACGCACATATAAACGTAAATATGCGTCAGATGCGCCAGCGCGCAAAAACGACAATTGCGCAACACACGTTACATATTGCCGCGATTGTTGGCATGAGAGCAATAATTTTAGGGCCACCAATCACTGCTAACACTAAACTGATGACCGGTAAAAGCTTTTTAGGTGTTGCCTACGGCCAATTTTGGGTAATGTAGTTTTTTGAGGTTTCACGCACGTGCGCAATTTTAAGGCTTGACATGTTTGGTGTCTTTTTACCTGACGTGACCCCACTTTTTATATTTTACCAAACAATTGGGTAATAATAAATGTTTTAGAATTTAATATAGGGGAAACATTATTTTTTTTATTTTCTGTAATTTTTCCTTAATATACTAAAAAATAAAAACCTCAGTGGTGATTAAATACCACCAAAAGAAAGCCCTATCTGTCCCCAAAAAATGGTCTAAAATTAATTTCAGTACAGCATTGCATGACGGAATAAATGTCAGTCAAAGTACTGCAGTGCTAAATACTGAAAAATGGCCTGGACAGGAAGGGGGCCTAAACACCACGGACTTCAAGTGTTTAAGCAATGTTAGGATCCCTTCAAAATAATCTTTTGAAAAATGTAATAATAGTATCAACTTAAAAAATCAGTATTTAGGACTTTTATCTTCCCTGACAGAATTCAGTCCTATAGATCGCTTTTAACATGTGCCATGTTATGCAAAGGACATTGTCAGTAGCCTAATGTTACTAAAAGTGATAATTTGAGGAGCCTTAGAGTGATACCACAGTAAGAACAATTGAGAAAACAGAGATTGATTGCCTGTCCTCAATTATATTGTGCAAAACACAAAGCATAGATATTTTAAAAAGTACAACCTGAAGCATTTATTCACTTATCAAAAAAATTATACTAATGTAGGTAAAGAGAATTTATTTTTCATTATTTAATTATTGTTCCTTATGTATTCAAATTTATTATTTTCTCTGTACTGAGCAAAAAATGCAATGAAGTAAATTGATTAATTCAAGTCATGTTTCCATAGGCACCAACAGTCTTAAACCATTGTCTCTGTTTTAATTATTATGGATGAAACACTGGATGAATGCAACTAACATAACCTACAGCTTGAAACGTTCTAAAGGTTAATGCATAGTTGCATGGTAGATAATACATTTGCATTTTTTGCCCACAGAAAAACAAGCAAAGATATTAATTACAGCTGCATGGACACTTTCATTCCTGTTTTCAATTCCTACATTGATTATTTTTGGAAAGATACAACTTCCAAATGGAGAAACTCAGTGCTGGGCCCTTTGGCCAGATGATTCTTACTGGAAACCCTATATGACAACTGTGGCCTTGCTGGTATATTTCATTCCTTTGATCATTATAAGGTAAATATCCAACATGAACTTCTCTAAATGTACAGATTCCAAACAACACACAGTTTTTAACAATGTATTTATATGAAGAAGACTGTACAACTACCCAATACATTGTTTACACAATCATTTTGCTCTTTTTCTCTTATCAAGAAAATCTGCATTTGGACTTCTTTTTTAGCATTTTCCACTCAGTGTTACTTCATGAACATAAAGCTAACTCATGTACTTGTGTAGGTCATCTTAATATGTAGGACTTTCTTGTGCCCCAGAGGCAAAGACAGTTTTAATATATGTGTAGGGTTACACTAATTTGAATTAATAGATGCTCATTTGGTGTATATAGTTGATTATTAGTTTATACAGTTAAATTGCAGATGTGGTGAAAATTGCAGATGTAGTGTTATATTGACAAAAAAGGTTTTCATTTTTGAGATGCTTATTTGTTTCTCTTTTATATTAGCTATATTAATAACCGGAAGACTTATATTAATAAGTCTTCCGGCAATATAAAATTGCAGCCCTGGAGGTTTGGATCTATAATGAGTCCAACAGTGGTGGAAGTACCGCCGGTGCAGCCTGGGGGGGCCAAGCACCAGGGGCGGACTGGGCCGGGAGGCAGGGGGCAATTGCCCCCCGGGCCTCTCTGCTGCCTTTAAAAACGGCCGTCAGGGGGCCCGTCACCGACCCCGCTAAATGAAGCCTCTGGCCGCTGGTGCAGTGGCTTCCTCCCTTTGCCGTCTCTCTGCCACTTGCACCGCATCAGATGTGGCTCTGTAATCGCGCGGCCACTTGCTCATCAAGGGGGTCCTCAGGAGGCCCTGTGGGTGGCCCTCTACAGTGCCTGATTAGAGGGCCGCATCTGCCTGATCCAGCCAGCCCGGATCGCATCGGTATGTGATCCAGGCTGGCTGGATCAGGCAGACGCGGCCCTCTAATCAGGCACTGTAGAGGGCC